GGAGGAGGAGGAAGGAAGAGGAGGAGGAAGAGGAAGAAGGAGGAGGAAGAGGAAGAAGGAGGAGGAAGAGGAAGGAGAGGGGGAGGAAGAAGAAGAAGAAGAAGAAGGAGGAGGAGGAGGAGGAGGAGGAGGAGGAGGAGGAGGAGAGGGGGAGGAAGAAGAAGGAGAAGAGGAGGAAAGAGGACTAGAGAAATGGCTCAGCAGTTAAGAGCACTGATTGCTCTTCCAGAGGACTCTGGGGTTCAATTTCCAGCACCCACATGGCAGCCCACAACTGTCTATAACTCCAGTTCCAGGGGATCTGAATTCCTCACACAGACATACATGCAGGCAAAACACCAATGCACAGAAATAAAAATTAATAAATTACTTTTTTAAAAAAAGAAAGAGACAATTAGAAACAATTTTAGCAGCAAGCAACCATCTTTCCCTGAAGGGGTTGCTCTAGTTTGGATCTGAAGGGACCCCCTGAGGCCCATGTGTTGATGGGACGGCTGAGAGAATGGAAGCTTCAGGAGATAGGGCTTAGTGGGAGGAAGGTAGGTCACCGGTGGGATATCTCAAAGGAGATATGGAGACCTCTCTTTTTGCTTTGGTCACCATGAAGAGAGCATGCTGTCACATGCCCTCACGATGATGTACCATGCCACCACCAGCCCAAAGGCAACAGAGAAAGTGACCATGGGCTGAAGCATCTGAGACTGTGACCCAAACTAAACCTTTTATCTTTTCCCTAGGGTATTTGGTCACAGCGTTAGAAAAGCTGAGTACCGTGATCGTCAAGTCACACCATGTATGCCACCAAGCTTGGTCTCCAGCAGTGCACTCGGACACAGCTATCACAAATGGGGCTGAGAAGTTGCCTCAGCTTCCTGAGTCCAGGGCTTTGACCTCTGAAGAGCGTTGTCCATAGCTGTTTCTATACTCATCTGATAGATGAAAAACCAAAACCTGAAGTGGTATAGGAGGTCCTCTGTCTTTGTGTTGCTTTCATTGGTTAATTAAAAAAAAAAAAAAAACTGCTTTGGGCCCTTGATAGGGCAGAACTTAGGTAGGTGGAGAAAATTAAATGGAATGCTGGGAGGAAGAAAGCAGAGTCAGAGAGCCGCCACGGAGCCGCCAGAGTCAGACATGCTGAATCTTTCCCAGTAAGCCACTGCCACATAGCGATATACAGATTAATAGAAATGGCTTAAATCAAGATGTGAGAGTCAGCCAATAGGAGGCTAGAGCTAATGGGCCAAGCAGTAATTTAATTAATACAGTTTCTGTGTGGTTATTTCAGGGCTAAACAAGCCAGGCGGCTGGATTGAACAAGCAGCCCTCTACAACACTGAAGCACATTTTGTGACACCTAGGCTGAGTTGGAGACATTATCACCCACCTTCTCCCTTGAGCAGAAAAGTTCTCATAAAAAGGGGGAAGATGGCTGGGCATGCAAAAGTACCATCTGGACCCTCGTTCCTTGGATCTGAGTATCCCAAGGTGATCTACAAACCTGGATGCCCTAAGCAGACAGCACCTTGAGTTTCAGAAGTACTCACACAGGTAGGCAGGCCCTTCTCAGCCTGCTTCATACAACTGCCACACTGGGGAACAGAAGGACCTTGGGTTGTGCCCTAATCAATACTTTTTAAACTAAACACAAAAACAAGACTATAGTAACAGCCAAGTGGGCTAACATGTACCTGGCTAAGGGCCTGTTCCTCAACAGCTGGATTGTCCAGTACTGCACAGCGGCCACCAGCAACAGGAAGCTGTGAGTGCTGTATGTAGCACCACATGGTGAAACAGCCTTATACACAGTTAATAACCAAACACAGACATCCCTCAGTGCCCACAGAGGATGGGTTCCCACACCCACTGCAAACCCCAGCAACCTAGGAAGCCAAAGTCTTTCATGTTAAATGGCATGGTGTCTAATCATATGCTCTAAATCACATCCCAACACATACTGCTATATGTTTAGGGAATTATATTTTTTTCAATCTGGATGAGGTAATATACAGATAAGAAAACTGTGATATGGAGGAAAATTGTAGTTTGGGAAAATTTTGCTTTGCTTTTTGTTTTGTGTGTTTATGGTGGTATTTGTGGAGGCCACGGATTGATATTAAATGTCTACTTTATTTTTTTTGAAGATATATTTATTTATTATGTATGCAATGTTCTGCATGTATACCTACAGGCCAGAAGAGGGTACCAGGTCTCATCATGGATGGTTGTGAGCCACCATGTGGTTGCTGGGAATTGAACTCAGGACCTCTGGAAGAGCACCCAATGCTCTTAACCTCTGAGCCATCTCTCCAGCCCCATTGAGACAGGCTCTTTCACTAAACCTGGAGCTCACCGACTTGGATGCCCAGAGAGACCCAGGGGTCCTCTTGTCTCCACTTCTCTAGAGCTGGGCTTACAGGTGTTAAAGCTGCACCCAAACTTTCATGTGGATGCTGAGAATCTGAACTCAGGTCCTCATGTGTGCATAGCAAGCAAGCACTCTGCCGAACAAGCCATCTACTGAGCCCCTCTTTTATATTTCTCCTTAAATAATGTGGTTACTTTAAAAAAAATACTGCTTTTGTTTGTTGAGATGATGGGGATCAAATTCAGGGTCTTGAACACATTAGGCACGTGCCCAGCACAAAAGTCTAAACTATATATGGGACACACAACACTTCCATTGCACTGAGGAGCACCTCAGCGCAAGTGAAGAAGAACCTTGAAGTTTTCTTGGGCAAGGGACTAACTATTTTACCCCGAGATTTTGAAAGAGGAAAATTTCCTGCATAAGAGCACAATGGTAATGTTGTATAATGTCATGGTTTGAATGAGAACAGCCCCCATAGGTTCATATGTTCGAATACTTGTTCCACAGTCTGTGGAACTGTTTGGGAAGGGTGTATTTCCACACCTGCCCTTACTGGAGGAGGGGTGTCACTGGGGATGAGCTTTGAGGCTTCAAAAGTCCATGCTATTCCCAGTTAATTACCTCTGCCTCCTACTTTTGGATCAAGATGTGAGTTCTCAGCTACTGCTCCAGCGCCAAGCCTGTCTGCCTGCTGCCACACTCCCCACCATGCTGGTCGTGTATTCTAACCCTCTGGAACTGCAAGCCCCCAAGAAACTGCCCTATAAATTACTTGGGTCATGGTGTCTTATCACAGCAATAATAAAGTAACTAAGACAGAAATATTATTACTTTTATTTTATTAAGAAAAAAAAAGCCCTTGGAAATAGGAAGCTTAATGGTGCTGACCAGGCTGTGATAGAAAAAACCCACAATGTTAGTCAAAAGGATCATCCTGACCTATCTCGTGAACCGCCCCTGGGTCTTCAGCTATATGAGGCTGGGAGCGTGCAGGATAGGAAACCCACTAGAACTGAGAGGGTTAGGGGGAGGACAGGAAAGCTTCACACCCAGGGCGCTATCCCAGGCAGGACAGATTCCCATCTCTGGCTCCAGGCCTACACAGGTCTTGTTTCCTACCCCCTGCCTGTCCCCTCACATCTTCCCCACTCCCAAGTTCAAGGTTACCCACCACTCCAGCCAGTATTCTTGCTGTGGCTGATGCACTGTGTTAGAAAGCGTGAGTCACAGGAGCCTTGGCTGGGGTAACACTTGTCTCATATGCCCAGGAGAAAAAAGGGGGGGGGGAGGGATGAAGAGAAGATAGGGTGAGGCGGGGGAGAGCAAAGGCTGGAGATGCACTTAGGACTTGCCACTCACCTAGCTGGATGGAGGATATTCTTCAGTAACAAATATTCTAAAGCAAGCTCTTCTCCAACATCCAATGCCCACCTATACCCCTCAACTGTCCTTCATGCTCTTAACACCAGTGGGTAAGAGCATGTTCCCTCCAGTGTGCCTGTTGTCTCTCCAAAAGGAACTCCTACCCCAATGGCTTATCACTCACTGCTTATGTTTCTACCCTTCCCTGGCACACAAGGCAAACCTTCACCTGCTCTTCTAAAATCAGATCAGTTCCCTCTCCTTTCAAGAACTACTTCTATGCCTGTAGTCTCTTTACACGAAGGAAAGCTCAGCGATGGCCAGCCTTTGCCTGCCCCCAGAAACTGGACCTCAGCAGTTCCGTTCTGAATATTGACCATGCCTGCGAATAAATGAACAAGTGCACATGGAGACATGTAAAAAGGGAACAAATGAAGTGGATCAGAAGCAGCAGGAGGAGGAGGCAACAAGCAGAAGAGGAGACTCGGATCGAATCAGAAGCCTGGGGAGATGCCCAGGAGTGTGTGGGATGTCGAACCAAGTCCCAAGTGGCCAGGGGTCCACCACTTCCATCCCGTCCCGACCAGGCACTGTGTTCTCCACTCCTCTGACCAGGAGGCCAAAGAGGGGGGCCAGCTGTGTGAAGCCAGGGACAATGACGCCTGCCACACTACCACACAGCAGCCACCCAAATGCAGTTAGCCGCCTTTTCCCTGAACACACTCACACGCTGGTCGTGCAACTCCGACTACATAACTCCAGGAACTCACATGCAAATCCCCAGGCTCACACCTTCCCAGAGCTTTCCATGCACAATCTCCCAGGGCCTTATAATCACAGACACAGAGGCTCCCCTATACTACAACAGAGGTGACACAACTCATGCACGTTCCCGCAATCCCCACTACTACCACCACCAATCGCGCCCGCCCCTCTCCTCCCGTCCCTGCCCATCGTTGCTTAGGAACGGGGTAGCCCCGCCCACCAAGCGTTGTAGGCGTCGCCTACCGGCTCCGGCCTCGACCATCCCTCTCGGTTGAGCGGAACTGCTGTGCGAGTTATACCTTCCTGAAGTCGATATTGCCGAAGCCTCCACAGCAATCGTGTCCCGCCGCCGAGCTGCTCATAAGTGCAGCTTCGGGCTCGTATTTCCTTCCACCCCGTGAACCTCCTCAGGAGGTGACACGTGGGGACCTCGCCCCTCCACTTGGCTGGGGAGCCGGTCCCTTGACATTTAAGGAAGCGCGGCCGGCCGGGAGTCTTTTCTGGTGTCCCCAACGCCTCCTGGCCTTCTGGGAAATGTAGTTTCCCAACACTGCCTCGTGGGGCGCACTTCCAAGTGGCAAGAAGCGGAGGACTACAAGTCCCAGGGCACTATTGGAGAGAGACTGCTGGTTACAGAGGGACTCCGGACGATGTCCCTCAGATCGAGACTCCTACGCTGCTACTTTGGGCCCATTAACTGCACCCCACCCTCCAGCCTAGCTAGTTTCCTCTGAAATAGGCTAAAAAGACACGGACATTTACGGAAAGAAGGACCCTCATTCCAGAGTATGATTGTAACACTTTCGCCAGCTGAGGATCAAGAATTCTAGCACAATTAACTCTTGCTGTGAAGGTTGCCTACATAGAGACAGTGTTCCTCTTAGACGGATATTTTCAAAGAGGACTATTAAAATAGCAATTTGCCAAGCTTTAAGGCTTGAAAGTATATGGCCTTTTCCAGTTACAAACTTACAATTCTCGCCGGGTGGTGGTGATGGTAGACTCCTTTAATCCCAGCACTCGGGAGGCAGAGGCAGAGGTGGATCTCTGAGTTCGAGGCCAACCTGGTCTGCAGAGTGAGTTCTAGGACTGGCTCCATAGCTACTGAGAAACCCTGTCTCAAAAAAAAAAAAAAAAAAAAACCAAAAACAGAAAAAAAAACCTGCAATTCTCTAGGAGTCTCACAAGCCCCATTTACAGTAAAAGATATTTCTTGATTACACCACCCCCCCTTGTGCAACCCGTGGGTTTATTTTTTCCAGATTACAATAACATCTGGAACTACTCTATCATCTCGTTTATCGAGGGAGTGCAGGTACCAGCCCTCTAAGATGTATCTTGAGAGTCACCCGAGTGGCTTCTATGGGCTACCGACATTTATGTGTGGCTCTCTGAGAAGCCCACCCCCACACTCTCTGTGTCTTTCATCTGAGCACCTCTTTTTATTAATCCCCATGCGTATATATCTATTCTAAACCTTCTTCCCAGTAAACTTTGCTTTAAACTGGCTTCTGAAACTCCTTCCATCACAAAGATCAAGCTTTAAAGGTGGTCCCTAAGGGATAGAAAGTCAGGAGTTAGGTCCTTCGGTAGACAGGACTGGACTACAAACAATGGACAGGAAATACAAGTAACTTGTTTGTTTGTTGTTGTTTTGAGACAGGTTTACTCTGTGTAACAGTCCTTGCTATCCTGGCCTGGAACTTGCTTTGTAGACCAGGCTGACCTTGAACTCACTGAGATCCACCTGCCTCTGCCTCCCAAGTATTGGGATTAAAGGTGTGCGCCACCATCACTCGGCATAAGGAACTTTATGTATACCCTCTACCATCTTGCTTTTAGCCCAGGTCAGTGTCCCTCACCACAACCTAGAGGTAGTGCCAGGCCAACCACAGCTTCTCTACACCAACACTGCCCCTCTGGGAGCCCCAAAGCCCCCAGAGCCTTTGATTCAACCATACATCCCTCCTCCACTCATTCCTTCATAGGTGAGCTCTACATGGTGATGGAATGTGGGGAGCAGGTGACTGGGTGCAGGACAATCCCTTTTGTAGCTAGCTAGATCTATGGAGAAATGGAATTCAAAACTCTAAGATTTGCTCAGGCACTCAGCCAGCCCGAAGCCAGGCGGGACATCACCCACTTCAGCTGCTTCCTAATTCCTTATGGACCACTTCTCTCCACCTTGTTCCTGCCCACTGCACCAAGAAACAAGTAAAGCCTGGCTTAGTTCTGTGTGACCACCTCACAGATGGTTCCAGTCTTCACAAAATGGCTAGGGTGGGACAAGCAGACCGAGGAGACAGGAGGGACACTGGCTTTGAAGGACACACTCTAGCTCTGGGGTCCAGCCCAGCTTTCCCTTGCTTAGAGGAAAAAGCAGTACGTACTGTTAAGACGTCGCAAAGGAAGGATCTGACCAATGGGAACCAGCACTGGCTGCTGATGGACTGGACACAAAGGGCTCACTAGCTAGTCTCCGAATGACCACTGTGGTGCTGCTCACGATGATCAGAAGCCTGGCCTTGCTCAGTGCCACCAGCCCTGACAGTCAGCAGAGACCCTCTATCTAGAGGTCTACTAACTGGCATCCCCCCACATCTCTCAGACATGCTCTCCACTGAAGGTCCAGTCTTCTCAACTACTGGATACCTCTGGCTGTTTTATTGAATTGTGATTGTCAAATTCTGTGTGTTTGCTTTTTTCAGAAGGCAGAGGAAAGGTAAAGGTTAAAGGTCACATCAGAACTGATGCAATGTATCCACTCCCTCTACTCAAATCACCCCACCAGAGTAGCTCTCCTGGTGTCACAGAAGCCAAACTTGCCACTTGAAATGTAACTGGAGTTCTAATCATAAGCCAAAGGATGATATTTTGAGGCAGAAGTTTTTCCCCAGGGTCTTTGGAAGCCTCTACTTTTGAGCTTGAAGAGAAGTCACTCAGGCAGTCTCTAACCGTGGGCATTTTCGTCCCTGGCTTTCTTGAGGAGTGGAAGGGCACGCTGTTTACATGTCCCAAGTAATAGGAAGTTCTCCCCCTCAAAGCAGCCTGCTCCTCTGTTGTGGTGTTCCTTCTTGACACCTGCTTACTCCACTCTTGATTCCTCAAGTTTCAATAAATGGACCTCTTTTTTATCCTTAGAGTTCTCTCTGCTTATCAAGCCTGAGAAGCCATTTAAGACAGAGCATCTTCTAGTCAGCTCCAGATGGCCCTTTGGCCCAGAGGATTGCCTCCAGGCTGCCTTCTCTCTGTGTTGGATCTGGATGGGGCAGCTCCTGGAGCAGGAGAGAGAGGAGTCATCAAAATAGGCTTTTACTGATCAAATGAGCATTGCTAATTGAACCCCGTTGGAACAGCCTAATCCTTTCCCGGCTCACAATCTACTTTCTATCCATAAAATGAGTTTCCTGTCTTGAGCATACTTGTTCTCTGGTGAGCAGGCTCTGCAGGGGTCAGGTTTAGGTGCGGTGGGAGATCTTTCCAGAGCAGAGGTCATCTGGATATGTAGGCTCTGCAGAGTTCCCATGTGTTCCCTTCCACATTAGACTTGGGCAGCAGCCCTTTAAGTGACCTAAATGCTGGCAAAAGGGCACCCGAGTAAATTCATCGGAACCCAGTTCTCCACAGTATCAGCCAACTGTTTCTCTGCTCACCAACCCTTGCTTCCTATCGCCTCCTCGTTCCTCCTACACACAGTGTGCTGGTTTGAATGAGAATGTCACCCCCAGGCTCATATTAGTCATGGGGGAGTGGCACTATTTGAAAAGGCTCAGGAGGTCTGACCTAGTTGAAGAAAGTGTGTCACTGGGGGTTGGCTTTGAGGTTTCAAAAGTCCAGGCCAGACCCAGCTCCTCTCTTTCTCAGCCTGCAGATCAGGATGTAGCTCTCAGCTATTTCTCCAGCACCATGCATGCCATGCCTGTTGTCAAGCTTCCCGCCACAATGATAACAGGCTAAACCCCTGACACTGTGAGCAAGCCCCCAGTTAAATGCTTTCTTTTATTAGAGTTGCCTTGGTCGTGGTGTCTTTTCACAGCAATAGAACACCAACTAAGACGTGTTTCTTAGCCATGTGTCCCCATCAGGGTCGTTGTATGGGTTGTTGCCTCAGCATGGATTGCTCTTCCCCAGATTTCTCCTAGGTCCTTCCTTACCCACTCCAGACTCCACTCGAGTGTCCCCTTCCACCCTACTGTGCAGGCTAACCCGTCCGTGCGCTCCTTCCCCTTTGCCCACTAGATTTCTCCTCATGGTCCTGTCACTCTCTAGCAATCTACTTCACTTGCCCCTTTATTCTGGGTAGCCCCACTGGATGTGCACCGCACCAGAGCAGGGTTTCTATCTTCCCTGGGTACCTCAGCCAATGCCTGATAGAAAGCAGGCACTCCACAAGCAATGCTGAATGAACAGTTCTGCCGCTGATATAAGCGGTAGCTCTTGGGCCAGGCAGCTTTCTGGGTCATACTGACCCTGTCTGTGGAATGGGAAAGACACAAGACCAGGCCTTTTATCCAAGCTGAAAACCAAAGTTTCCTCTTGCCACCGGGCTCCCTGACCCACCACTCTCTGACTCTGAAGCCTCGGGAAAACAGCCTGCTCCCTCTGACTCTCAAATTCCTGGCCATGTCTAAGCTGAGCTCTTGCAGACTGCAAGCCCTGGGCTCAGCACTTCAAGAGCCTCTTGCTTCTTGGAAGCTACCCAGCAGTCCTGTGGGGGCGGAGGCTGTTCTCTGTCCTGAGGAAGCTGATGCCACAGTCTCTGAGTAAGGGACAGGTTTAAAGCTACCATTCAAAGCCAAGGCCAAGACTGCCCCTCACCTACCTCTGAAACCCACCTCCCCCGGACAAAATCTGATCCCTAGAACTCTAGCACGGGCTCCAGCACTCACTTGGTGTTTAAAAGCCCTCTTGGTTCTGCCGCTTTCTCTGCTGTGGTTCATCTCTCCCACCACCTCAGGGTCTCGTCCCAGCTCAATCTGAGAAGCTCTGTTAGCTCTTCAAGCCGGACTCACTCTAACCTCACTGGCCTCTTCTCACATTCCTGCCAGTCACCCGGCCTTAGCATCTCTGGTTTCCTCTGCCAGCCACACCCTTCCCTTCTCAGAGAACAAGGACTCTGCTTTGGCTACCCTGGACGCTTCTGCCTACACACACCTAGTGCCTACACACACCTGGTGCCTACACACACCTGGTGCCTCCTCAAAACTCCTCACCTATTTGCTGGATGAATGGGGTCAAGGCTCTGCTTTGCTTGAGTGAAATTATTCTTCAAAAATGAAGGCCCAAAACAGGCTGGGTGACATTCTACTACCTACTCTAATCTACTAAGAAATCTGAAGCAACAGGAAGACCCCTTGAGCCCATGAGTTCAATGCTAGCACAGGCAACAGAGCAAGACTATATATATGAACCTGTCCTGGAACTAACTCGCTCTGTAGACCAGGCTGGCCTCGAACTCATGAAGACCCACCTGTCTCTGCCTCCCAAGTGCTGGGATTAAAGGTGTGTGCCACCACCACCTGGCTAATCTTTAGTACTTTTACATGTTTTTTTTATATTGTATGTCTATAAATATTTTGCCTGTACATAGCATATATACCACTTGCATGCCTGGTGCCCCTAGAGGTCTGAAGAGGGTGGCATCAGGTCCCCTGCAACCGGAGTTATGATGGAGTTCTGAGCCATCATATGACTGCTGGGATCCAAACCTGGGTCCTCTGCAAGAGCAGCAAGTGCTCTTAATCCCTGGGCCATCTCTCCAGGCTTGTGGTAGTCTGAAAGAAAATGGCCTCCGAAGGAGGTGACACTATTGGAGTGGCTTTGTTGGAGCAGGTGTAGCCTTGCTGGAGGAAATGTGTCACTGCAGAGGCGGGCTTTGGGGTCTTTTTGCTTAAGTTTTGCTCGGTGTCACAGTCTCTTCCCTGATGCCCGCAAGACTCACAGCTACTACTCCAGCATCGCATCTACCTGCACGCCATCATGCTCCCATCATGATGATAAAGGACTGAATCTCTGAAACTTCAAGGGAGCCACCCCAATGAAAGGTCCTCTTGCCTGGCGGTGGTGGCGCACGCCTTTAATCCCAGCACTGAGGAGGCAGAGGCAGGCTGATCTCTGTGAGTTCAAGTCCAGCCTGATCTACAAAGCAAGTTCCAGAACTGCACAGTGAAACCCAGTCTCAAAAAAAAACTTAAAAGGGGGTGGGGGGACCTGGAGAGAAGGCTCAGCGGTTAAGAGCATTGACTGCTCTTCCAGAGGTCCTGAGTTCAATTTTCAGCAACCACATGGTGGCTTACAACCACCTATAATGAGATCTGGTGCCCTCTTCTAGCCTACAGGCAGGATACTGTATAAATAAATAAATAAATAAATAAATAAATAAAT